GGTGCTTCCACCAAGGAACTAATTACCTTCATTCTTAACTCCACCTCGAGAAGCAGGTACCAGACCACCCCACCCCAAAATACAAAACCCCAGGTGCTCCCTGCTGTCTCTTTCTGGGCCTCTGCCTCTCAAATGTGAGGCATCAGAGTTGATTGGCATTAACCCATTGCCACCCACTGCACAACTAGTCATTGCTGAGAGGAAACACAGTCTTGAGGTTTTTTATGGTAAAACTCAGGTAAATAGGAGTGAGGCCAAAGGACACACTATGCATTTCCCACTTGTCCTACAGACAGGATAGGGAATAAATCTCCAGCAAAAATTTCTCACTTTCATGCAAGCAATAAAAGCTTGTATTCTTGTATTTCCAAAATGTCAAAACTGTGGAAGTAGTGCAGAGCTTAGCATAAGCTGCTACTGCTGCCCTTTGTCTCACAGAATCCTCTCAGAATAGAGAGCATGGATTTAATGCTTCATCCATGAGGCTTTTCCCATCACTAATGTATCCCCAGCCTGATGCTTATAAAAGAGTCATAATAATGCCTTTCAAAAATTTCCAAACTGAGTAACCTCCAGGTGTGCAAAATATTGATGGTGGCTTATGGTGCCAGTGTGCCAAGGGCTGGGAAACAGCCAATTTATTGGCATGGATCAAGTATCCCAGAAAACCAGGCTTCTTCCAGTGGCAAGACAGCAATCCCAATCCTCTGGGATTTCCCTCAGAAGCCAGATTAACAATTTTTTTGTAAATTATTAATCTAAAGCAATTTGTTGTAGTTATTGTTTCCTCCTCTGGTTGTATTTCAGTAGCCAAATATATTTTCTTTCCAGAGAAGAGCTGGGAATCCAGGAACCTGCAGCCAGGGGAGGCAGCAATTAGTGGTTTGAAGTGTTAATGGGACCACAGTGGGAACAGGAAGTCCCTTGAACTCAGCTATTAGCAAATTAATAAAAGGGGTAACACGCTCTCCTGAGTGTTACAAATTTAGCATTAATTAGGACTTCTCTTTCTTAGCTATTTTAGGCAAGAAAATCTTCAATACCCTTTGTTAAATCTTAATCATCTTGTTTGTAGAAGTAAATCATATGGAAACATTGGTTTCTTCACTCAACTACAATCTATTAAACTTTTTCTATTCTCCTTTTCTTTCTGACACAACTTATAGCTAGATATTTTGTATACAGTTAGCTTTATTTATCAAATCTTACCTCAGAAGAAGGCTTTCTTTGAAGAAGACTAACCTACTGGCCATTAATTTGTCACAGTCCATCCCTGACTTCTCAAAGATCCCCCCTTCATAGGAACATCAGTGGTCCAGTTTATTTGTATTTGTTTTATGTATTTATTGCTCATATATTCCAGACGTTAAACGTCACGGAGTTCGTGTAAGTGGCAAACATCTCTTTCTGCCAAACATCTGCACAGTTTTGTGTATTTTAGCACTTGGGAATTAATCACGAGAGAAACTTAATCAAGTTTGCAATGATGAAAAGCCCTTAATTAGAGCAGAAGCCAAAATGTCCTCCTGTTCTTCCTTTCTTCCTGCACTGCCCAAATCTCATCGAAACCTTGCCTGAAGACCAGAAAACAAATCTCACAGTTGATTGAATATATCTAATTGTGAATTGATGTCTATGCTTTTGCAGATATGTTTCAAGTCTTGCCTGGCGGCTCTGTTGGCCAATTTGCCCGTACCAAGGAAATTAATTCATTTTTAACTACAGAGCAAAGCTGTGATGTTGGGCAATACATGTCTGCCTTTCTGCAAAGAATATTACTTGTCTCCAGCAAAATCAGTGCATTGCTAAATGATTGACAGAACCACAAAAGATTTAGCTTTTAATGTTTAGGAAACACTGATGGAGAAGAGAAAGCACTACAGGCTGTGTGAGGCAGAAGAAACTCACTTCCATTCAGCAAAAGCCATAGTGAGCATTAAAGAGAAAATGGAGTAGGAAGGTTACATCTTCACTGATGCCACCAAGTAAAAAGAGCTTGTTAGAAGAAATCAGTGGTGAGCTCAGTTTAAAGCACACATGTACAGGTGCCCATCAACAGCAGTGCTGAGAACTGAAGCAGACACTGGCTGAACATACACCATAAAGCCTGAGAAATACTGGACACTGTCAAAGTGGCTTTCATAAATTCATGCAAGCTGATGTTAAAATCTCTATTTTACAATCAGTTAGAAAGGGTAATTTGGCAGCAGGATTAATAACCTCTGAAACAAATGTAGCATGAAAGAGAAGATTCCATGACCAGAGCTCAGCTCAGAAGACTGTTTCATGTCTAGAAAAACTGGATGAAGATTGTTTCTGGTTAGCCTGTGGAGGGAAACACAAAATACAGTCATTTCTGTTTACTTTTGCTAAACAGCTGGTCAGAGAGTACTTTCTGCACTGTGTGAGGCTAAAGCAAGTGTTATTTTTACTTTACTGCATGAGGTAGGATGCAAATGATGTTCACTGAGGTGGCACTGTGACATCCTGTCTGCCTTTAGGGCTCTAAATACTAACAGTAACTGAGTCCTGTTTTCCCTCCATGTGGGTTTTAACTGTGGGAATAAGATGTGTGAGCCTGTGAGCTGGGCAGCACATAGATAAATTCCAGATGATGATTTAATGCTGGTGAATACAAGTCTTATAGTCCTGCAAGCAGCCTGGTACTGGAGAGGACCTTTGAGGTCAATTCATTTCCCTTCTGTCACAGGCAGCCCTCTGAAAGAAGCTGCATGATAAAGTGACCCAGCTCCATTACAAAGTTAATTTTTTGCCACCATTTCTGCTACTGTAATGGTGCAGGAAGAGGAATCCTACAGCAGGTCCTTGGAAATGTAGAAATCTTCCTATTGCCAGCTTTAATATACTCTTATCCGGTTTATTCACATCTTTCTTTTCTGCCAAAATTGTGCTTCTGCTTAAATAGCGCTTCTCCCTTCTGTGTGCTCATCCGTGATATATTTATAGGGAGTCCTCTCTCAGCATTCACTGCATGAGATAAAACAAGCCATCCTTTTTTTAGACTCCTTTCGTATAACAGACTTTCCACAATCTGAATCATCCTTGCAGCTCATCCCTTCACCTGCTCCTGTCTGGGCATGGGGAGCAGAACGAGCAGCTATATATTCTCTTACCAGGGATTTTTACAATGCCATTAATACTGCCTTGTTTCCTTACTGCTCTGTTGTGCATTTATACTCTCTGTACATAGAATTCTTCAAGCATATAAATTATGTTACACAGTGAACCATCAAATTGTGGTGTGTCATCTCCTCTGGTGCCACTTGTGCTCCTTGGGAATGTGGTCAGCATCTTGCAGGCAAAATCCTTCAGTGCTTTTCATCTGGTGCTTTTTCATCCTTGATAGCTCCTGCAGAGTGTTTCAGCATGAAGATGTTTCAGCAGTCATTACAAAAACAAGTGAATCATTCAAAAAAAGCACAATCCATCCATCTTCTTTAGTGTCACCAATTAATAGCTGCTCAGGATGCTCTGCAACCTATAGTTGTTTAAAGGAAGAAAAATAACCAACCCTTTCCTATAGTTCTGTGCTGTCATTATATTTTGTGTATCCTGCCCAAGCAAGGAAGCTTTATTGAATAAATTAGGCAATCTGCAAAGGGTTCTGATATTGGGCTTTAAAGAAGAGTGAAAAAACAGTATAAGAAGGGAACTAAAAAACAATTGGTAGACGAGATTATTTATTATTGAAGCCCATTTATCTTTTCAGAAGCCAGTGGTCAGAGCCTGATTTGGTGGCCACATTTCTGCCTGCTGCTGCCCCTCCAAGTAAACAGTGTTGAGGCACCAGTTTCCTCCACTTGATGGAGCTGGAACAGCCTTTTACTTCGTGCTTCTGATTTGGAATATTTTTACTGGAGACTGGGCAAAATAAGGGACCATTTTTAAAAGGGAGCAGTGTTGCCTTTGTGAGCAGCTCAGGCTGGGTCTGTGTGCTCACTGCTCCAGTCACAAGCTGCTAGAGCAGAGTCATTGCACCCTTTGGTGGAGCTCTGCCTTGGGCACTGTCAGAGCACCTGCAGAAAATCCAGAGCCACATTTGCCAGACCTAAGGATGCATTCCCCAACCTGCCCACAGCTGTGAGCCCAATGCCTCCCTCCCATCTCACCTCCCTGTCTAAAGCACTGTGGCTTTTGCCACTGGACACACCCCAAGCAGGACAGCAATGCCACCTCTTGAGGGGAATCAACTCAATTCCAGCCCATGTGGCATAGTTGGAGGTCTGTGCCCAAGTGTAATGGAACCTGATGGAAGCTAATTAAAAAGAAAACCATCCATTTTGCTCTCTCCTTAGGGTTTCATCATAAAAGCCTTATGTTGTCTTACAAGCCTAAACAAGTGTATTCACATGTAAAAATCAGCCATAAAGCTGCCTGGAGAGTAGTTAACATGTCTGAGCTGTCATTTGTAAAGGCTGCCTCAAGCCTGGATCCTGCAGGTGGGCATGGCCTTTCTGCTGTCCTCAAACCACCCTGCATAAGTGGGGCATCCCTGCTTCAAAATGGGAAAGAGGGACAAGCCCAGGGATCCTGCTCTGACAGTCGTGTGGAGTGGATGTTTCTCCATCTGGCCTTGACAGAAGCAGGGAATCAGAGGCAGAGAGTACTTGTTATATGAGAGCTGTGCCAAAGATGTTCAGAGGTTAAGAGAGTGTAAATCTAATAGGAGGGTTTCCTGGTCTTCTCCTCAACCCCAGCTAGGCTACAATTTTTAAGGCAAAGTGAATTTCCTCTAGGACACAGGAGTCATCATGGTTTTTTACAGTGGAAAAAAATTATAGGCTGTGTCCCCTTGGCTGCCCCAAGGGAAAAATCAACACGGTTTAAATGGCAGTTTTCACTCACCCAAGCTCTGCAGAATTCAGAGTTTCTGCAGAAACTGGGCTTGTGCAGCAGTTGTATCTGGGCAGGTCTCCCTGGGCAGGAGGAGATGGCTGCTTTGGATGTGTGGGGTAACTCCAGCTGGTGTCTCCTTGCAGGCGTCGGAGGTGGAGCGGCAGCTCTCCCTGCAGGTCCACACCCTCCGGGAGGACTTTCGGGAGAAGAATTCCTCCAGCAGCCAACACATCGTGCGGCTGGAGAGCCTCCAGGCCGAGGTGAGTCACCTGCCTCCCTCCTGCAGAAGGCAGCCAGGGCTGTTGGAGCTTGTGTAATGACCCTTTGTGAGCAAACACAGTCAGCTGGTGGAGCCAACGGAGGGATGGCAGCACTGGGGCAAAGGACTCCCCCAGCAAGGATTTCTCCATGGTGTTCTGGCTGGGCTGGCTCAGGGCACCTTCCAGTGCTGCCTCGGCCACAGAATTCCTGAATAATGGATGGATGAGAAGGATCTTCCCAGAGCCAAACCATGGCTGTGCTCCTGCAGGGCTGCTGCCTAGTACGGCTTAAACTCTGGTAGGCATGGTGGGAAGGTCTGCAAGGGTTTTTTTTCTTCTGTTGCTCATGCTTGCAAAGAAAGCAGCAATCCTCTTCTGCCTCTGAGCCATGCACTTGGGAAAGCAAGGAGCCCCTGCCTTTTTTAACTCGGGTACATCTGCAGGAATGATACAACTTCCTTCCTTTTCCCTTCCCTGACAGAGTCACTGGGGATCACATAGGCAGGAACTAGATGGGCAGAACATGTCCAGCTCTACTACCCGGCCACTTCTTTTATTTAAAAGCTGTCTGAAAAAGCTTTTCCTAAAATCTCTTGATTTCTTTTCTCCCGCTCCCGCCTGCTCCTTGCTGGTCCCTCGCCTTTTCTTCCCCTCCCCTTGGTGTGGAGCAGCAGGTCCTTGAAGTAAGTATGGAGGCTTGGAAAGGGTTTGCCTACACGTACATGGCTGTTACCATGCATGCCTGTCACCATGCATGCCACACCTTCTCTCCTCACCTCCTTCCTGTCTCTTGCTTTCCAAACCCTTTCCCCCTGTGCCTTTCCTATGGTCCAGGGCTCATGGCAGAGTGACGTTTTTTATGTTGTATCATTATTTACAGCATGTTCATTACTGGTGTGCCCACCAAGTATGAACTCTTGGTACAATCTCTCCATTAAACCTCTTCTTTTTCTTTCTCCAACCCACGCAAATCATGATAGTGGTGGGCAGAGACGTCTCAGAAACCATTAGTCACCTCAGAGCAGCTTTCCAATACCTCCAGTGGCCTTTACTCTGCAAAAATAGCAAGTCCACATACTTGGCTGATATTCCTTTGTGCAGCCAAATCTTTCCAGAAACTTGGAAAGCAGCAAAGAGACAAGGTCCCAAAGAGGCCATGAAAACAGTGAGAATTTGGTGAATTTGTCTACACTCCATGAACTGAAAGGAGGCCATAGGGAATATTTAGGGTTATACTGGACTGGTGGATGGCTGGTATACCAGACCCCAGACATTCTGTGTGTACTAATGTGGGAAAAGGCTCCTTCTTCTTGGTTAAACAAGAAGTGACCTTGGCTAGTGCTGATTCATCCCTTGCACTGTTCCTGGCTAACTGAGTCATGGAGGGTTTGTTTGGCACACTGTCCCTCTCCTGAAATCACTGCCCTTGACAATTAAAAGAAATGAACCAATTTTAAAGGCAACCCATCAATGAGAGCTAAAAATAAGCACGGCACAGAAAGGAGTCTGCACAAGTGAAAAGGCAGAAAAATCCCTGGTGGGGACCTGATGAACACACACCAATTAAGAACAGCTTTGGGCAGTGCTGTGGCACAGCCCTGCGAGGAGCAGGATTCCACAGGCTCACTCTGGATCCTGCTGGCTCACCCTGTGGTCTCCAGCACCCATACAGGAGAAAATGTCACCATCAGGACCACCCAGGAAAAGGAGCCATTTTTTCCCAGTCTTTCAAATGTTAAGATGCAAGGAGTGGGGAAGAGCTGGTCTCCACGTAGTATCTTTGAATATTCTTGCCTGCTCCCTGACCTGCCAGTGCACCCCCAGCCCCTCTGGAGCTGCCATTGCAGCCTGGGGAAGGAGTTGTTTCCTTTCAGAGCTTTCCTAGGCTTTAAACCATACACAGAGGTAGTTTCTGTCATACAGGTGCAGAACATCTGTGTACATCCTTATGCTTTTTGCTGTTTCATTTCTCTCTTGGGAATGTGGTGCCTCTCCTCTCTGGTCCCTGCAAAGTCTGACAGGGCCTGTCTTTGCCCTGCAGATCAAAATGCTGACAGACAGGAAGCGGGAGCTGGAGCATCGCCTCAGTGCCATGATGGAGGAGAACGACCTGCTCCAGGGGACTGTGGAGGAGCTGCAGGATCGAGTCCTCATCCTGGAGAGACAAAGCCATGACAAGGACCTGCAGGTGAGGAGGCAGCAGTGAGATGGGGACGGGATGAGGAGATGCAGTAAAAGTCATGATTTGGGGTAAAATTGGCCGTGAACTGGGAGACAGAACAACTGGAAGAATGCAATGGCTCATGCAAGAATGGCAGCAAGCAAGGTCCTGTGTGTTCCCCATGAAGACAGGTAACAGGAGCATCAACGAAGCATCTTGACAGCAAAGAGCAGCTTAGGAGGGAGATGTGAGCAAGGAAGTGGGGCAGGGTGCTGGGGAAATGAGGTGAATGCAAAATGAATCAGAGGACTCTGGTTGCAGTTCATTATATTTAATTTTTTAATAGTAGAATTGGCTTCAAAAGGGGCTTCTCTAGATCCTGCTGTTCCAGAGGGCAGTCATTGGCCTCCTAGATCCCACTGCTCAGGTGGTTTCCCAGCAATCTCTATGGTGTTCACAGCCATGAGTCACCAAATGTCACTCCCCAGAAAACAAACTTGGCACTTCTGGGGCTTAGGGCAGAGCAAGGTTTTTCCATTTCACTTCTGTGGGTTACCAAGCACTGGATCTTCAGCTCCGTAAAACAACCTGAATATTTTTTCCTTTTTTTAATATATGTTTGTATATATTTTTAAAAAACATGCAGCATTTTCATTTGGATTCACTTCCTGCTGTGTTGTTTTCAGCAAATTTCGTTATCTGAGTCCCTACTTCTTCACTAAAATGTTCTTCATTTTAGTGCTGATTAACCTGCTATTTTTATCTTTCTGGATATTCTGGATTCTAAACAGTGTCTAATGACACTTGGAGATTATTAAGCTCCAATAAACAGCAATACTAGCCAAGAGTACTTTCCTCCTGGCTGGCAACCCTGTTTTGTGTCACTCACTCCTCCCTCCCAGCTCCCTCACAAACCAAGAGATTGATCCAGTCCGTATCGCCTCCATTGATATTTTTCTGATTCCTTGATTTTCTTCACAAGCTGCACCAAAGCCAGCTGGAGCTCCAGGAGGTGAGGCTGTCCTACCGGCAGCTGCAGGGCAAGGTGGAGGAGCTCAACGAGGAGAAAAGTCTCCAAAACCTCAACACAACCAGCACATCCCTGCTCTCTGAGATAGAGCAGAGCATGGAGGCAGAGGAGCTGGAGCAAGAACGAGAACAGGTATTTGCCCTCCATCCTCTGGGAAAGCCCACGGGCTTCTGTGACCAGTCCCAGAGCAAAAGGGAGTTTAATGCATTTGATTTGGATTTGGAACTGAACCAAAGGCCAGAAAATTGGGATTGGGGTCTGGCATCAACACCCTTTTGACCATATGAAAGTAAACCTCTACATCCATTTCCAAACCAATATGGCAAATATTTGTGAGGGCTGGCAATCACACACTTCACTGACCATGGAAGGAGGATCTCCATGGCCCTGCCACCCCGTGCTGATGGCCGGCTCTGTCGTTGCAGCTGAGGCTGCAGCTGTGGGAGGCGTACTGCCAGGTGCGCTACCTCTGCTCCCACCTGCGGGGCAACGACAGCGCCGACTCGGCCGTGTCCACTGACTCCTCCATGGACGAGTCCTCAGAAACCTCATCAGCCAAAGACGTGCCGGCCGGGAGCCTGCGGGCAGCGCTCAGCGAGCTCAAGAGACTGATACAAAACGTGCTGGACGGGGCAGACTCCACGGTAAGTTGGTGGCACACACAGGCCTTGCCTTGTGCACATCCCCTGGCCCAGAGCTTGCTGCAGGTGCTGCTGGATTCTGAAAGTCTCCCAGAAAACCTGTGTGGCTCACAGAGATGGGCAATCGCAGAGCATAGCCCACTCCTTGTGTCTCAAATGGTCAGCCAAGAGCCAAGCATGTGGGGTTTCAGCCTGCAGCACTCAGGCCACTGAAAGTTTCAAGCTCATACAACTGTCATTGGCCTGGGAGTCGTTGTGAAAATTAATAAAAGCAGGCTTACTTTGAGATTTGCAGTAAGTTAGAGTTTCAGTGTGGAAATATTGCAGATTGCTTTACACATCACAGTTTGGTTATTTCTTTGGGATTTTCCTAACCTTGCTTTGTTAGCAATAGTATCACAAATCATCATAACCCCTGTGTCAGGAGGTTCTGTCCCTGTGAATTGTCATTGGTAGAAATGTCTTGGCAGGAGCTGCCAAACTCAAATCTGTGGCAGGTGAAAGGTTTTGCTGGCACAAGATGATGTCTGTAGGATGTGGTCCCCAGGCTGCTGGGCAGGAAAGGGTGACATGGAGGGACCAGTCAGCATCCAGAGAAGTGCAGAATTACAATGAAACACCTCACTTTTAGTTCTGGCTCACATCAGGCCTCTTCCCATTCCCTACAATGCAAAGCTGGTTGCATTGCCATTATGACTTATTTGGGATGCTGTGGTGAGGAAAAGAGCCCCTGCAGAGGGCTGTGAGGGAGTATTCACCCTCCTCTTTTAAGTACCCATAGGCTGAGCATAAAGGTGAAGTTGTATTTGTTAAATAAAATGTAGGGAGTCCTGTAAAAGGTCCACAAACAGAGACTGTAGCTACATGGACTATCAAATGGGCAGTATGTCTCTGTAAATTTGGTTTATGCCAAGGTCTGCATGCTCTTTGCATCACGTGTGGAAGCACTACCCTTGGTGGTGGAGGTATATGGGAGCAAAAACTCTACCAAAGTCACATTCACATTTTTTTCTTCTTTGTTCAGCACCCTCATCTCAAACTGGTACCAAATTAATACAATTGCCTTTTTAAAAGTGAAATCTGAGCAAGAGATTTCTCTCCCACTCTCAGAGCTCTCGGCGAAGCGACGACGACACCTTAGAGGAGCAGATCAGGAGAACAAGTGAGGATTCACGAGCCCTGAGGGAATTAATGGAGGGAGAACGGGGGAAACTGAGGCAGAGTTTGGAGGAGCTGCAGCGACTGCACAGCCAGGTTAGCAGCTCCCACATTTTTCATGTGGTCTTGTAACAACGGTGTTCATCCTCCAAAACATGCCTTCCATCAAAGAGACCAACATGATAAATAACCCAGCAGGATTTAGGCCAAAATGACTGGATGAGGGAGATTTGTTAAACCAAATGCAGAAGATTTAAGTATTTAGGATGAAAGTTTCTGGCAAATTGTCTGGGGCCCATCTGAAGCATCATCTCAAGCAGCCAAACTTCCTTTAAGCCTTTTTCCCAATCCACTATTTAGCCTATCTCTCTTACTTAAATTCTTCTCAGCAGAAGACCTCAAAGTACGAGGCTGTTGATATGGGATATTGGAAACCCAAAGGTATCCAGGGTGACCTGAATTGCTGCACTGAGCCCTTGTGAGGGATATGTGCACCCATTCCTTGGATATAACAGTGCTGCTCTGCTGTGCATGGAGCAGGGCTTGACCTCTTCCACAACAGCATCACAAAAACCTCAGAAAAGCACTCCCAGAGAATCCTAATTGGGGCCAGGCTAGCACCAGGCAGCACCCCAGGGACCAGCTGAGGAATGGTCCAGTCCCAACTCCACATCCGAAACACAGAATCCCATTGCATCCACATCCAAAACACAGAATCCCATTGCATCCACACCCAGCACAGCATCATCTGTGTCTGAGGCCCTATGCCAAGAGCAGGAAATGGACACAGGCGTCCAAAGAGGTACTTGGCTGTCCTTGTCTCTGTGGGACCAGACTCCAGATGCTGGAGGGGATCTGGAGGCTGCAGCAGAAGCAGCAGCAACTGCACTGGAGCAGGGAATGGGATTCATGTCCTTGGCTGGTCTTCCCAGCAGTGCTGTATCACCCTTTGGAGAATAAATAGGAAAACACACCCGTGTTCAGAAAGTCAGCACAACCTGGGATCTGATAGACTTGTGTAGGGCTGTGGGAGCTCCCACCATGGGACCAAAGAGAAAAGAGGGAGAGCATCATTAAATACCCTGGCAGTGGTAGCTGCACATGTGTGAGGGTAGGAAATGTCCTGTTTCCACAGCATCTGATCAGGGCAGAGTGTGGGAGGGGAGCAGCCCTGGAGCCCATCCTTCCCCTAGGACTGCTCCTCTTAGCAGTGTGGCCACCACAAGAGACACTGCTGAAGGTCCAGACTTCTGTCCCCAGTGAGACATGAGCCCAGACGCTGCCCTGGCCATGCTGCTGCAGTCCTGTGCACCTCACACAAGCCCTCCTTGTCCTTAAACACACCTGAGATGGAGGAGACAACTTGACAGTGCTGACAGGGACCTTTAGAGAATTAGTCACAGATTCTAGGCTTGTCTGATCTCTCCAAACTCTCCAGCCAGGAGGGACCAGAAGAACAGCCCTGGATTGCAAGTCTGGAACCCTAGGTCTGCTTTTAGGGGTCCCCAGCTGCCAAAGCTCTGAATATTTAGTAAGCAAAGGGAGAACTGCAGTTCTGTTTTCTCCTCACACCTCTGTGTGGAGAAAGATGGGACATAGCTACAAGTGCAGCAGCCATTACTCAGAGAGGAACTCCAGCCTCCCACAGCAGGCACACATCTCCCACAGCTTTTGCCTGTTATCCAGCCTCACACTTGCTCCAGGTTAATAGTTATTCTCACCTCCTATTGAAGAGGCAACATCATCGTTTTCTGTTCAGTGCTACAGAAAATTGATGCATGTGGAAATCTGGTCCACCCAGGGGAAGCAATGCTCTGCTGCCTCCTCATCTCTCTGTTCTGGCACTGGTATTGATACAGTCAAAGGCGAGCTGATTCTAAGTGGCTTTTAGGATCTTGTGGTATCACACACATTCATTGCTCCTGCCCAAGAGCACGGTGAGCAAGTGGAGAGAGGAGTCACCCCCTTCTCTATCCACACTGAGAAGCTATTTCACACCTGCCTGATTGTTTCCTCCCATTCTTACCTGAAGCATAGACAGTACTAATTAAAATCACAGAGTTATCCCCAAACCCCATGTTTTGGGCCTCTGGATCCTCTGTCCCCTGGGATTTCTGTAGAGGTGCTCAGCACCTTTGACATCACTCCATCACCACTGCTCTCTGTCACATCATTGCTTTGAGGTGTTCTCCATGCAGGGCTGAGGGAGGGCACAGCTCCCCAATTCCCTGGCAGCCCTGGCACAGCTCCCTGGTTCCCTGGCAGCCCCAGCACAGCTCCCCAATCCCGTGGGGAGTCTCTGCACAGACATGGGTGCATTCACACTCTCCTCCCCCCTGCCCAGCCGTGCCTCGCTAACGCAGATCCTCCCACGCCCTGGATGTGATGAGCCCTCTTTGACTGTCTGCCCTCTATTTAAAGATTTCTTTGAAGATTCAAGCACTGCTGAGCTGCATTTAGAGGCAGGAGGTGGGTCAAACGCTGGAAGGGTTTCCAGGTGGTGGAGTAGTGTAACAGAGCATGTGTGTGCTCTAGACAAAGAAATTAAATGTGTATGAAATATTATGAAGCTGTGCTAATGCAATCCTTGCATGATTTCACACCCTATTAACTCGCTCTGCACAGGACCAAAACGATAGATCATTTCTCAGACTATTTAAGACTCCAGACATATTTTAAAGTCTAATTAAAATTGTAAGACGTGCCAGTAACACCTCCCATGGCATGAAAGAGAATTTTCACATCCTTTGTCTACAGCTTCATATTACTTCAGGAGATGTAATGGTCCCTTCAAAAATATTATTTGCTGGTAAATTATGTTAGCAGTAATTTAACCCTGGAAAGATCAGAATTATAACAGGCAGACTCAGAGGATGTGTGCAAACTGCAAGACAAACTGCTTGGAGAAGGGCAACATTTTAGCCCTGATGCCATAATGACAGCAAAGTCACAGGTGTGTCCTGCCCTGCACAGCATTCTGCATGTCACTGAGGCCATCCTGGTGACACATCTTGCTCAGGTCAGCATCCCCAGGGCAGGCCAGCACATTTCATGGAGGGTGGCACCAGCATTAACAGCCCCACACAGCAGACACAGCTTTTTCTGCAACCAGGGGATCTCTCAACCTGCAGGTTAGCCCATGTGGCTTCCCCCCCCCTCCACCATATTTGCGGCGCATTTTCCTGAGCAGCCCTGGCTTTCACAGCCTCCCTCTGCCCACAGGTGACGCTGCTGAGTGTGGAGATGACGACGCTGAAGGAGGAGCGGGACCGGCTGCGCGGCGCTGCCGAGGACAAGGAGGCGAGCGAACGGCTCCTGCAGGCCATCAGGGACCGCGACGAGGCCATCGCCAAGTGAGTGGCACCAGCAGCCAGAGCCGGGCTGGGCCGGCACTTGGGGAGTGCCATGGCAGGAGATGCCTCTGGAGTGGCTTTCTCCTACTCTCCACAGCAGCTGTGACAAAGTGATGTCTTGGCTTTGGAGCTTGTGAGCAGGGCAGGAGATGCTAAAGGCAGAGAGCTGCCCCGTGGCTGGACTGGGGGCATTTAGGAGCATTCTGTGAACCACGTGTATAGTGCTGGTGTGGGTCACAGCAAGGAGGAGAGGACTTCAGGCACTAGGTCTGCCCAATTTGTCACATTTTAATTCCTTTGCTATTCCAGACACACAGCCCTGCTTTCCTGACTATCCCCATTGCAGCCTGCCTGGGCTTCTTCCTTAAATCACTCCTCTGCTCATTCCCTCTCCTTTCCTGTTCCAAGGTCTTTTTTGCATCTCCAGTCCTGTAATTCTCTGGTTCTCCTTTTGGGATTCCCCCACTGGTTTGATTCTTTATTTTGCCCATCTTCCTTACAGATCTGTGCAGTTCTGCTCCTCCATACACTAAATCCCTCTTCCTCAGCTCTGGCCTTGGGCTTGCCAAAATGCCCTGAACACTCCTTGCCCAGAGGAGAGGGACAGAGACCTTTACCCTTCTGTGCTCTGCTAGAAAGGCTTCATCTGATAATCCCTTCAACAAGCAGGTGGGCCAGGACACCACCAGTCCAGCTTCTTAGGGAAAAGCCCTGGACAGGAGGAGCAGCAGGAGAGGGTTGCACCTCTGAGAGTACAGAGCTAAATCAGCCCACACCATCCCTTTTTATAAGTGGCTCGATCCCCCGTGCTGCCCTTGCTGGGCTAGCTGGTTACCGAATTCCCATCGCTGTGCTCTGTAACACCTCCATCTGTTGGCAAGGAGCAGGAGCATCCCAGCTGCCTGCCGGGCGCAGGGAGGCAGGTCTGACATTGCCGCTGCGTGTGGGTTGCCGGCTCTGCCGTGGCTATGGCAACGCTGCCGCTGCCATCAATCCCGGAAACATCCAACCAGCAGCGGGGAAACGTCGCAACAAAAGCTGCCTCAGGTGCCCGAGCACAGCCGGGAGTGGAAGGGCACAGCTGCTCCAGTGCACCGTGACCCTGCTGGACCGAGCACCGATGTTTGGGGCTGGCTGTCCTGCAGTGCAGGAGCCTCGGGAATGGGGCACGGGTGAGGGGGATTAAGGAGCAGAAAGTGGCAGCAAGAGCAGAAAGAGCATCCTGTCACTGAAGTGAAAACATCTCTCCCAAGACCGAGTGGGCTGGTTGCTGCCTCGAGAGGCTCGTGATTTTCTTCCCACCTCACACCCCAAGGGTTAAGTTGCTTTTGTTGAACCCATCCCCCCCAAAATCCCTAACTCTGAACAGAAAAAAAATCACTGCCCGAGGCAGACATCTGGTGTGGAAAATTTTTGCTTGAAGCTGAAGTTTGGCAACGTAGGAAGCGATAGGAAAATAGGATCTTTTCAGAGGAAGTGTTAAGCAACCAGTACCTGGAATACTCAAATTCCCAAATTGTTCTTCTGCAGAGGAGCACAAGGGAGCTATTAGGAGACAGGGAATTAGCTACAGTTAATAAGATGCAATTATTTCTCTCGAAAATGTTTGCAAGGAAAGTTGGTTCCCAGCAAGTCATGTTACACTTTCCTATCACACAGCAGTTAATTGAAAACTTCAGCTTTGTGCTCACTTGTGTGCTCCCAGCATGGTGAGCAGCACTTCCCAGCTTGGGCAGCGTAGGAAATTACTCCATCCTAAGGGACAGTTCCTTTCCAGAAGCAAGGAGCAGCTGGAACATCTCAGCCACTGAGCACTTGGGGCTCTCTGGGTAACCTTGTCCATGGCATGACATGCCCACTGGCCACCAAATGTCCGGGAAGAAATGTAACAGAGGTGTTCCCAAGGGCTAGGACAACTCCACTGAAATGGAGAGCTTTCCATAAAACCTAACATTCAATTAGAACTATTTTAACAGTTTGTCGTTCTTAAAAAGCATATGCTGTGATAAGCTGTCTTCTTTAATTTCTTCCTTCAAGTCCCAAGTGAAAGCAGAATTGTACTCTTTAAGAGGTTTTTTTATTTGTTTGTTTTATATTGCAATTTATTGATCCAGCAATCAGACACAGGTAATTTGATGTTTAGCTCATACTATTTGTTCTCTATGCATATAAAGAGAAGAAAAAGAAAAAATATCTGTATATAGATTCTACCTTGTTCCAGATCTCCATTTTATTGGCAGATCTTGCACATTTTCCAGACACACTATTATCTTACACAGCAGTGCATCTGATTTTCTTTCAGTATTCTTCACAGTGTGCTTATCAGAAATCTGCTGGTTTTAAAGTAATGATGTCAAAAGTTCTGTCCCACTCTTCAGATTAATAGATTTTCCAGAATACAACAGAGATGAACACCTTAGGATGTGGAGACTTGCCAGTGAAAGACATAAATTGTAGTCTTGTATAGATATGCTTAACTCTTTGTTTAAAAAGAGAAAGGTGCCAGGCCCTGGTTTCTGTCCCTGCAGGAAGAACGCAGTGGAGGTGGAGCTGACCAAGTGCAAGATTGACATGATGTCCCTCAACAGCCAACTCCTGGATGCCATCCAGCAGAAGGTGAACCTCTCGCAGCAGCTGGAGGCCTGGCAGGTGAGCACCCCAGCAGGGCAGGGGCTGCAGGGCTCATCACCCCAGGGCCACCTGTGGGGGGCTGTCCCCCCTCCCTGTGCCTGTGTCCTGTTCTCCGCCTGAGCATCCATGGGTTGGGTGTTTGGGGGTGCTGGGTTTTGGCTCTGCAGGAGCCAGCAATGCCATGGGACACGGGGGGGGAGCTGCCCCTCCCTGTCCCGAGCCTTTTGGCTGTGAGCTGTTAATTCTACAGCTCTAAACACTCATTTAAAATGGAGAAGCAGACTGTGCCTCCTGGCAGAATGGGAAATGTGCACGTTGCTCTGCCCCGGGGTGGGGAGGGGTCCGTGCAGGAGGTGTCCCTAGGCTGGCACAGCATGTCTGTGCATTTCCATGATGGAGCAGAAAGGTGGGAGAACGAGGTTGTGCTCATTGTTGCTGCACTGTTTTCATCAACTCCGAAGATCCATGAAGCAGGAGAAGCTAAAATTCCAGGTCTTCACCAAGGTAAAAAAACAAAGTCATGGCAGTTCCACAGCTGCCCTGGAGATGCTCTGCTTGGGGTCAGTGGGGAAAATCCTTGTGGAAGGCAGAAAGCCCTTGAGAGCACACAAAGCTGCCTCCTCCCAGAACCAACACTAAGGGAGGGCTACTCAACAGAAAAGAAAGCAGGCTTAAGAGAAAAAGTCTGTGCCAGTTGTTGCAGACCATGCAAGACCCCAGCTCTACTAACAACCAGCCTGACCAGCAGAAACCTTTCCCGTACAACCTTGCTCCTGTTTCAACTCCACTGTGTTTTCGTTTCTCTCTCTCTCTCTCTCTCTCTTTTTTTTTCCCTTTTCTTTTCTTCTTTCTTTTCTTTTTCCTGCTTACAGTTTGCTTCCTCAGGGCTTTTTACTATCTGGCTCCTTTGGTTTCTGATCTAGTGGCCTTTCTCAGTTCCTGTACCAACAGCTTTAGTCGTACACCCCTCCTGCCTTTGAGGTGAGCTCCCCACACCCCCCCATCCCCTCTCCATCTGCTGCCACCATCACCCACATCCTTCTCTGCCCTCACCATCATCTGGCAAGAGGGGCCAGTGGGGGTCTTCATCATCCACCAGTATTCTGCCCACACCCCCCATCCCAGCAGTAGCCAGGGGCAGCATCCTGCACCCCATGGTGAGGCTTTACCAGGGCACCACAGGGAAAGCCAGGCTGAGGTGCACATAGTATTAACCCTCTCTGTCCACATATTTAGTATCTGGAAAGCTTCTTGAAAGATAAACTGGGATTTTACTTCTCAGCCTCGTTGTCCAGTGAGTGACACTCAGTGCTCTGCATAGGAGCTGTCTCTATAGTTCAGTCTAGGATGGGTGGGATAAAGTGAGGCCTACTTAGTGCTAGAATAAACCCAGCTTAGGGGTTAAGAATAGGTCCTGTTGCAGTAACACAGCAACCCCAGACCTGCTCCCATCAGCTCTCTGAGCTGAGGCTCAGGCCTACTTCATGGCAGTAAATTGTCTCCAGCATACTGACCTGAGGTGTTACAACACAGCAGCAAAATAATTTCCAGCCACCTCATGTCCCCTCAATAGCAGCTCAGCCACAGAGGCACCAAACAAGTCAGGTGGTTTATGTATTTTGGGGACTATTTTGCAAAGGGGTTTGCAGAAAGTTTCTGATAAAATAGGATAAAAGTCTCTGCTTTAGCTGGGCATAATTGGACACTTTAATCTGGTAACATTTTGCTCTTGCACACTTCTAGTCTGCATTTCACCAAGGGCTGTCAACAAGATTACAGTGTTCTCTAAGGACATAATCATACAGGTTATAAAATAGGACTGAAGGAAAAAAACCTCCCTATCCAAGTGCTTTGCTCTCTGACTCACACATCTGACAGACAAGGACCCAATGCAGTGCACTCTAAATAGTGCATACTGTATTTTTATATATATATGATATTTTTGTGTATATATATATATATATATATAAATACATATATCAATCATTCTCATCCCTTGTTGTGTGGTCGATCAAGGACACAGATCTGCCATGCAGGAGCCTGGGTACCTACTTCATTTAGCAGAAGAGGTGCCTTCAAAATCCAAGTGCTGTACATTTTCATGTGGCAGCTTCAGATCTGGAAACCTGTCTCACTGATATTTCATACTGATGTTCACCTCAACCTCTTCAACTCTCCCTCTGCCTTTCCTCCCTCCAGCCCTGCTCTAAAAAGACCCAAATCTTCCCCAGTCTGTGTAGCTCTGCACCCTCCTGCTCCCACAGAGGAAGTCCCCATACTAAATTCAGGTCCAGGTCATGGCTATCAATCCTTTTCCCTGCAGAAGATGCTGAAACAAGAGATTAGCCATTATTAAGTTTCCATTCCCAGCAGGCTGATTTGATTCAATCCAGAGCAGCTGGGGCACCTGCTGGGCAATGGCAGCACCTCCCCTTCAGTCCTGGGGCTGCCCCTCAGCAGGTGCTGAATGAGCAGCACTTCCACCACTCCAGCCCATCCAGAGAATCCTTGTTCTCACCAGACACTGTCCTCAGCCCTAATCAGGGACCAAACCTGAGAGCAGTTGATTCCTCCTGTGGGGCTAGTCGTGTACACACATTTTCACTAAGCAGTAGCTTAAATATGCAATTTTAGGAGAAACAATGCATCTGAAAGTTTAAGATATATAAAATTTATAGCCAGGTTTTCAAGGGACATGTTAGCACATCATTAGTGGCAACAGAACTGGATAATTATTTTGTATAAAGCAGCTTCACTGTGGTGCAAACATGGATAGAACCAGAGCGTTTCTGGTACATCTGAAAAGCCACAATTCATGTTGAGCTGTCAAGTCAGAGCTCCCACTGCTATGCTGGCTCCAGGGGAAGGAGGGGGTCTAAGAGACCAGCTCAGCTCTGTTTGGTGAGCCTGGTGCAAAGCCCAGGAGGGATCTGGTGGGCCCACACCTGCCCCAGCCCCTCAGCACCTTCCCCAAAGCAGCCCCAGTGACAGTGGCCATGCAGCAGCTCTGCCACCCCTGCCTGTCCACTTGTTGTGCACACAGACCTGCTCAGCACAAACCTCCGTCCTGCTTCTGGCCTTTGCTCTCTGCTGCATTTGTCCTTAATTATTTCTCCCCCAGAGGGGATATCTGCAAGCTGCAGACAGCAGAGAAGCACAGCTTAGGGGTGGCACAGAGTCCCAAGCCAGCACAGAGCTCCTGTGCAAGACCACCTGAGCAATTTATCCCTCAGAGTTGTGTGATTGATCTTCCTCAGTCCCTGGAAAGCCTCACGGCAGCGGGCACAGCTGAGCCTGCTGTCGGGTGGGGACACAGACCTGTCCCTGTCCCGCCATCCCTGTTCCATCTCATCATTGCACGTTTCACACCCATTTCAGCCGCCCCCCTCGAGCTCCCTTTGAGCATCAGCTGCCACTAACGCCCTGTCCTCTCCCTCTGCTGCAGGATGACATGCACAGGGTCATTGACCAGCAGCTGATGGACAAACACCCGAAGGAATGGAGCCAGCTTGCTTATTCCTTCTCCAGTGGCTCCGGCGCCAAGCGGAGTGCCAGGCCCTCCCCCGCCCTCAGGCCGGAGCAGCAGGGGGACGAGCCCGTCGGGGCCGAAGGAAACCGTCTCTTCTCCTTCTTCAAGAAAAATTAATTGGGAAAAGAGAAAGCTCTCCAACAATTCCTGCTTCGAGATAGGAAGTGGGGCAGCTGCCCAGCTTGCTGATGGACCCAAGTCTGATCCACTGAGTAAAAAAGAAGGGGGCAAAGGAGTTAACCTTTGAGACTCTGCACTATTTACACCGCACCTGGTCTGAACCAAATGTTTACATGAATTGGAGATTTGCAGATTGACAATGTGATTCTAGTAGAAAGAAACTTTTCTTATTCTATAAGTGAAGTGATAAACTTCAGGGTATATTTTAGGCGCTTTGACACAGTCCAGTTTCTGCTGTGAAGAATACTCTGATTGTCTTAAAAGCATTCTTATGCTGGAGAAGGAAATAAGCAGCCCCAAGACAGAGCAGTGCAGGGGATTGAGAACTGCTGTCACAGCAAGCCCAGGGGGAAGAAGAGGGCTGAATACAAGAGGACAGAAGGGAGCCATTTGTACCACCCTGGCAGCTGTGACATCCTTCATCCATCCCACTGAAACTGGAGTCACTCTGGCCCCAGCATTCCCATGTTTTGACAAATGTAGCTTTCTCCGTGGTGGAAGTTGAGCCCTCGCTGCAGATCCTGCCTGGGCACCATCTCCCCTGGAGCTCTGTGTGGCTGTTCACCCTCGCTGGGATCCAGGCTCCTGGCAGCTCAGGGCAGGGCACAGATGAGTGGTGTCACTGTCCTCTCCTGCTCTCTCTCCTATTACAGAGGTAAGAGTTGCAGGCTGTAGCTACACAGATTTCTCCCCAGGAGACTGACCATCTACAACAGGTTACAGACTGGATAAAAGTTGTGCATGTTCAGTCCTGGGGCACCTGCTGTTCCTCCAATGGCCAAAAGTAGTTTGGGAGCTTCAGCAAGTCACACACCTCTCCCCAAAGCCATACACATCTCCTAAACAGAGTAAGAAAACTGTCCTTTTAACTGGATAGGCCCCCAAAAGCCTAACTAATAATTCACTGAAAGCCTCCTCCCAATGATGTCAGTCAGTCTTTGACACTGGGTTGGCAGACTGGATCCTCAGAAAGCACACTGGCATCTGCCTTCACTGAAGCCAAAGGCTATCAGGGTGTCTACAAAGCTCTGGAAAGCCTGCAGGTTACTCTGCCCTATGCAGTAACATTGGCTATGGCCTGACAGAAAGGAGTATTTGTCCCTGCCTGTGGGTCAGTTGCTACTCAGCCCTTTGGTGAGCAGGTAGCCAAAGGTCCTTTTGATCAAAGATGACCAGAGCCTGCTTTGCACGACTTGATCAACAAGAAGGAACGGGGCTTTTTTGGTGTATGCACACAGCAGTGCTGGAAATCCTGCAATACTCAAGTAGGTATCTTCCCTCTGCACTGGATGGGCACTTTACAGCTCTTCTGTTTTATCAGTCTACCATCATAAGCCAGTGAGGAGCACCAGGCTCAGTTCAGAGATGTCCTGCTGCTGTCATGCAATTTTCACACATTCTCCCAGCTCATGATACCCACGGGCCCCAGTTTGTTTCCTGCTGCTTTAAAGAGGCCACCACCTACACTGTCCCACAGCAGACAGAGCTGGGTGCACCTTCAGCTCTGCCCTGCTCTGCAACTTCGGTGCTAACACACCATCCCACAGGGAGCTGCTGTCTCTGCTCGCTGCTTACAGGAACAAGCTTCTTGCTAGAGGAGGTACCAAACACCTCCTAAGCAGCAGGTAAGAGGCTGGTGGCTTGGGTTTTAGTATTATTCAGCTTACCTGTGGGATTGAACATCCATTATACCTCAGTACAAATATCTTTTCTGCCTACAAAGATTTGAGCATTCCCCTATTTCCTTGTTAGCATGAAACCAGCACACTGGTATGAAATCATCTTGCACTAAGGCAGCTCTGGGTTGCAAGGAGCAGAGTGCTCTGAGATTGGCAATGATAGTGAAGAGCTAAGTGGTAAAACCCATCTACAGGAAAGCAATGAACTGTGCATTGCAGAGCCTGCTTCAGGAAATACTTGGGCAAAGCCCCACCAATGCAGCTTGATGTTTGTGGGGAAAGGAGTCAGGAGCCTCACAGGCAGGAAAGGAAAGTGAACCTTGGCCTCTCCTTTCTAGGCAATGCTCAGCTGTTGAGTATCTGCTTGTAGCCACTTGTGCAAGCAAGGGGAAGGGCTGCAGTGCAGTGCCTGCTCAGTCCTCATCCTCCCATCCTGCCTGTACTGTGACTCTGCACAGGGCAGGGACACGAGGCACAAGCTCAGCATCTCCTGCTGCCAGGACTCAGTCACACCCACATGCATTTCCCCAACCTTTGATACCTGCAAAATGAGGCGTGGCTGCGTGGATGCCAGTGACACCTGTGACACAGTGACATCTGTGAACACTGAAAACGAAGCTCTTTCACAGGAGAGCCACGTGAACATCCTGGTCCTCAGGGACCTTTCTTCTGCTGTCAGTTGTCATTTCTCAGACTCCACAACTCTCTTGAAGCCACATGCCCAGCAGTTGTGTGGGACTCTACCCCAGTGAGGATGAATGGATGGATGCGATCCTAAGGCAAGGGCCTTAAGGCCATGAAGATGCAGTACTGAGATGAAGAAAGGTGCCTTCTGCTATGTTTGTTGAGGAAAGTGACTCATTCAGTTGCAAGGGTAGGCACAGTACATCTCTTCATTTAAGGAGAATCCTTAATCCCATTGCAATTTTATTTATTTAACGAGAGTGATGGAAGAGATTGCAAAGGGAAAATCAGCATGTTCTAAGGTGCCAGTTGGGTATGGTTTCTTCAAACAAGCCCCTTCACCCTAAAGACTTAGTTGCACTACTAAACCCAGAGATACAAGAGAACTGGGTGTAATGAACTGGACAACACACCAAAGGAGACCTCCTTGTGCTGAGCTGCTACTCCACAGGAACAGAAACTGCCTTAACACAGCAGCTAGGTTTTGTCTTCTGTCTTGGAAAACCTCACCTGTGCAGTCCTTCGCACCCATTTGTCACGTTGTGTTTTAACAAGGTCCCGACTACTTCACCCTGTGCTGTCACTAACACACTCACCTCCATCCTGTCATGGCCAGGAGCCTGGAATCAGCCTTGCAGTGCTGGTTGGAAGACACTTCACTTGTGGTACTTGACTCCTGCAGGACACACATGGTGTAAAGGAAACATCGGCTCCAGGGGATGAGATGGAGGAAGCACATTAATCCAGCAGGTACTCAGGATCCCAAAGGAGATTTAAGGAGTGGGATCAGCAGCTCTAAACACACCCTTCAGCCTTGCTTTTGAGATCATGGTAAATAAAACAGTAGTGCTGCACAGTCACTGTTCAAATATTGCACAGAGAAGAGATGCCTGCTGAGATTAAGGTTACAAAGGACTTTCCCACAGGTAACAGGTGACTGTTTGGACAAATGTTTGTTATGCCAGCCTGAGGGAAAAGGGATCAGTCTCCCCTTCCTAAACTCTGCAAGGGAAGCAACTGTACACAAGGAACAAATGTAAATGAAAGGCAAGTCACTAGCACTTTATCTTCATACAAACTTAGATCAGCAACTTGCCATGGAGATGAACAGTAATTGAAGTTACTGACAACAGTCATTTTGCACAGAGAGCAGGAAGTGAGGCTGCAGGCAGGGCCACATGCACTTGTCCTACTTAGAATGGTAAATTCCAGATATGCCTCTCCATCAGGCAAACTCTCTGCTCCCCACTCGGCTATAAAAAGCAAGATTGTTTGAACCAAAAAGCCAAGAAAGGAAGTGTCTGGGTGCTGCAGCAATGATTCCCTTGGATTGAGAGGGAAAAAGCACACAGCAGGGACAAGCAGAAAGAATGTACCTATAGATATGTACATATACCACAGTGCTGTAATTTTTGTATGTAGCAGTCATGTAAATAAATGTATGGTTTTTATAAGATACATATTATAAAAATCTATAAAGGCATATTTTTAGTAAAAACAATGCTCTACTTCTTTTGTAAATAGTTCTCTTCAGAATAAAACAGAACATTTCTAGAATACTGTCTCAGCTTTCACCACTTCAATGTGCTCAGCTGCAAAACAAACTCATTTTTTGAATTGTCATTTAACATCCAACAGCATCTTTGGTGCTGCATCATCCCATAAAATTCAGCCAGGTAAAGCCCCTGCGTGTGCTTAGGAGAGAAGGGGCCAGGGCAAAAACATTTTCAACATTTGTATCTCTTGGTGCACAGGAAAATGTACAGGTGGGTAAATCATCCCACCTTCCAGCCATTTGTGTCCTTCACTGGCCCTGGAATGGAGGCAGACTCAAACTGGGAGTTTAGAGCAAACACAGCCGGGACACACCCGCAGCTGGCAGCAGCTCAGACCATCCACACGTCCCCAGGAGTCCCCTCCACCTCCTCCTCCTCCCAGAAGGGACAGACAGAGCAGAGGCACCTTCCAGGAGCAGCCTGGGCAGGGCAAGGGGATGCTGAGGGCACAGCCACGGCTGCAATTCCTGCACAGATTCATTAAACACACATTAATTTCCTGGGAAAGTGAGGAGAGACTCCAGCTGCTTTTCAGACTCACTTCGGGAGGAGGAGCTTTCAAGGCTCACTCAATACTTTTTGTTGTGCAGAATGACAAAAGATTACAGCACAATCACAGGCATCTCACTTCACACAGAAATAAGTTACTCGTTCCATCTTGCTATTTCATTCAAACTAAAACAGCAACTGAACATCTGAAAGCATTAATTATGGTTTTTTAATATCCTCTCTCAGGAAATAACCCTTTACACACAGCAGCAGAGCTCACCCCTGGCTTGCCACCCTCCACCTCCAGGTGGTGGACAGCAGAGGAAACAGAGCCTCAAAAAAAGATTTGGCAGCTTGTAACCTTTATTTTTAGTTTTTTAAAATTATTTAAAAAGCATAATTAGAAACTTTCATTACAGAAATAATCCTAGCAAACCAGTTAGACATTCCATTGCTCAACATTTAGGAAACTTCACATCAGCACCACTAGAGACACAGTCCCCACCCCCTCCAATTGAACAGTGATGGC